GCCCGGTACAAGTCTTAAATATGTGTTAAGCACTATATGTAAAGTTTGGCTAAAAACGGACGTCATATGACGTGTTTCGGACTTAAAATGGAGAATTTGGNTCCCTTAAAATGTACATAAATGGTAATTGGGTATATAAAATGTAATTATAGTAAAACTTGAGTATGAAGGGTAAAATAGTTTCATATAGTGTATAGGAATGTAAAATTTCCATAATTATTTTCTCGGTGCGATGCTTTATAGTTGTACTATAACCCAAATCTATTTAATAATTTATTTTCCTTTTTACCGGAACATGCTTGCACTTTGAGACAGGCTATTGTTTTATCTTGACCAGATTATGACAAAAAGATGATTCATTTCTTCTTTTCCCTTATCCTCTTTATCTTGTGTTTTTTTCCTCCCTCTCCATCTTTTGTTTATTTTAAAATTCTAAATGAATTACCAAAAACATGAAAAGAACTTAATATCTCCTAAAATCATGTTCTATTGCAAGTTTGTTTCCCATCCTACTCTGCGGGTTTCATAACATAATCATCAATTATGGATCCGAACTTTTTTAAGTCTTAACATCTCGAGAATTGACAATAAAAAGTTTAACCTTTTAACAGAGCATATATTTTTCAGATCAATCACTATTCTTGTGACCAAACACTGATAAACAACCCAACCAGCACCAGTGAACTTTCCCAATGTAGAAGGATTTCCAGTAGAACACATATTGTAGAGCTTTCCTAATATAGAAGGATTTCCACTAGAACATATATTGTAGCTCATCTTCTTTAACTATGTGAAGACTATAAGCACATTTCTTGAAAAGATATTATATTACCATCGAAGCTTAAAATGAGAGATGTTAACTATTCCATTCCTCACAACTCTTCGATCACTCTGCTACCTTGCTTGAGAAATAGTTCACAAAAATGGAGTCGCTCTTTGTTTCTTAATGGCTGTGCAGATACAAGTATCCATCTGTGTAAATTGAGTCGAGTCTTTCTGGATCGAACAAGAAGCCTGGAAGTTGGTAGTAGAGTTTTTAATCAATAAGTTTCAATCCACTGGTTATTTGTTCATATAATAGCCATAGTAGGAAACCAATTGCAGTGTCTCTTAGCAAGTTTCCAAATATAGTAGTAGCCCGGCCAGAGAGGTCCTTTGAAGGTTTGTTCCCAGCTAGATCTCGAAAACGCAAGTTTCCTTGATCAGACACCAAAGAATATATAACTCCATTCATGTGGCCCTTCCCAATTATTCCTACCACTTGCTTACTCTTGTTCACTGCTTTACTCCTTTTCAGAGACCATGCAAGAAACTATAGTAACAATCACATGGAAAAACAGAAAAGACTGTCACTAGCTAGCAATTGGAAAAATAAAAAGAGTTTGACCTAAATATGGTTTAATGGATAAATCAATTAATTGGCACTTCTCAGTTCAATTTGATCTGAAAACCAGTGCCAGTTTTGCCAATGAAACGTAAAGAGGCATGTGTTCTCCCAATGAAACGTTTGCGTTTGTTCTAGGTTATCAGAGACATTTCAGGGAAGACCAACTAACCGTGTCACGTTCATGTAGGAGTGGCTGTAGAAGAGATGGATATGTAAAGCTTAGCTTCTCATACAGTTGAAAATTGCTATCATCAGAATTTGATTCCTGCAACAACATAGAAATTAATGATAATGGAATTTAAATCTATGAAGAGATAAGGTACAGAGCACCATGTCGGAAATAGAATGGCATTTCATGTATGTTACCAGCACAACTTTCCATCTAAAGAGAGCAGACAACTGGCAAAGCTCTTAAAAAAGACAAAGTGAAGTTTAAAAACAAAATGCTCTTGTCCCTTTTCATTTTGGCCGTTCAGGATGATGGTGACTGGAGAGTGGAGAGGGAGGAGTGTTCCTCCAGGCATCAATTTTTTGTTATTAATACTTAAAGAAATACGGACAAAAATCCATGTATAATAATGCCACTTAGGTTCTGCCAGCCAATTAATTTGCTAATCAAGGTTCTATACATGTAAAAAATAATGGTTGAAAAACTTGATAAGTAACAATCACGTTAGTATCCAGAGAAATCTCATAGAGATGGGGGGAAAACCTTTAATGCCTTCGTTGATAGTTCAGCAGATGAGGTAATTCCGCTAAAGACAGAGACCATCAAGTTCATCTTCTCATTCCACTTTAGCGAAGTCCATGCTCGTTCAAGCTGAACACAGAAGCAAATAAAAATAAACTTTCTAGCATTACAGGCAAGGCCAAATAGCACATCCCATAAGGACAGGCAGACGTAAGCATAGAGAAGACTAACTTCTCTTGCTTTACATATAAGACCATGTAGTACCATCCAGCTAATATATAAAAGAGAAGCCATATGAATCGTTGTTCCAACTTGCCCAAAAAAAAAAAAAAAATTACCACTTCACTAAATCCAAATTTAACCTAGGAAATGGAAATGTAAGTGCGGCATACAGTTATTTCTATTGGTCGATCCCCCAATACTATTTGAGCACCAATGTCCTCAGCAGCCTTTCGTGCAGCGCGGAACTACAAATAGAAACAGCAAACTTCATTAAAATTTTTGGAAATATCCTCCTTGTAATATGGAATATTTTCCCGAGAACTACCTCATCTCCAAAAGGACGATTAACACCTGAAGACATTTTTGAAGAGAAAAGCGCCAGCAAGACTCGTAACGCTAGAGCAGTTTGACCTCCTATCATAGGAAATAGGTTGATGAATCATATTCTGTAGGCATAGATAGCATACAAAGCAAAAGGTTAGAAATTACCCAAGTTTATGCTACGACCAACAGCACCAAAAAATCCAGTCCCACTCAAAGAAAACATGTTTGATTTTAAAGGCTGATTGAGATCATTATCCTCGGAAATGTACATGATGCCAGCCCTGAACTCTGCAACAGGTGAAGTTAAGCTATGTAGATAACCAGTTTACAATCACCCCTGATGTAAATTAATTGGAGGGACAAGAATGCACAATTATAGCTCATGAAAATTAACGATAGGCGCCCTCTAAATTGCAGCAATTCATAATGTGATTTATTGCACGAAATGATACCAGATATCTTTGACATCCCTCATTATTTCCCATGAGAGTAATTGAAATTATAGTAACACGAACAAGAATGTGGAAAAAAATGGACCTTGGACCTTCAACGCCAAAAGATAGCTTATGAGGTCAGGATTGCTCAGGATCATAGAACAACTCATCATGTCAACCAATGTGTGAGACTCAAAATCCCAGCACACCTAGTATTGAACATATGATGTGTGACAGCATAACATGGAATCCCAACATTGGTTAAATGAAAAATAGGAATGATTCTAGCTCTGATATCATTGGCATAGAACAGATATTGGGCCTAACTCAACCCTAAAACTAGCTCACGAGGTGAGGAGTGTCCAAGACTATAAAAGAGTCAACAACTCATTCCCTCAAACAACTAGGAAGACTCTCAATAGGACGACACATTAATCACAACTCACAATCAGTGGCTGAGCTACCTATTGGGAAGGGGTTTCAATTGAATCCTCTTCTTGAACAATTATATTGCATAATCAGGATAAAAATGATTTTTTTTGAGTATCTATACATTGTGGAATCCCCTTGACAAGTGGTAAATGTTGCATTCAAGCATTTTTGGAATTAATTCCTGGCTCCATCACTACTCACAAGCTACAACCAAAACAAACTAAACGCAATGTCAAGCAGCAAGAACATCAGGATAAAGCAGAGAGAAGAATTAAGGAACATAAATTTAGTACAGAGCTACTTGCCTGCTTCTGCAGAGCTCTACAACCACATTCTCAGGCCTAATAGCACGAATGACCCTTTCAACATCCACGGCCGATTCCAAAGAAAGATGGTTTGTTCCAATTAGCCAAATGGCTTCTGGTTCCACAAATTCGCTTCTCCATGTTGGAACAGGTCCATATTGGCTCTTCTTTATCAGAAACAGAGTTCCACTATCGGCCAAATCAAGCAATTCTGGATGACTTTCTTCAATAGCATCCCGAGAAGCGCTGAAAAATTCAGTCTTGAAGTCGAAGTTTGGGGGTGGTGGCTTTATGGCAACTCTGCATTGATGATATTTTATTCTGGGTTTCAAAGGCAAGGAGAAGAATTTAGAGTGAGGAGCCAAGATTGGGAAAGGAGAAAAGAGGATGCTCATTATCTCAGAGCGGGAGGAAGAAGAAGCTTCTTGTTGAGAGATGGAGAAAGAGGAAGCAGAGCTGAGAGATGATCATTGTGCGACGTGTGGCTCTGGGGTGACAACGTTGCAACTTTCATTCCTATGGTTTTGTTTCAGCCGCATTGCAAATATCTTTTGAGTTTAATTTTACACAACTTGACAAATAGGTCATCTTACCACTGTGTGTGGACCGTCACCACAAGTTATAAGCATAGAGGCCAAAACTAAAGGCTCTTGAATTGAAAAACAGATTTTAGTTTCTGAAAAATAATATCAAAATAAAACACTATCCGATTTCTGCTATTATTATTATTATTATTTATTACATACTCTTCCCATAATAATATATATATCTGTACTCACTAGCAAACATCGGAAAATGTAAGAAAATATTTTACATTTTCACAAAATATATTTATACACGGTCGAGATCGAGTGCCTTCGATCTAGACACTTGAGAGGTCGTCCGAAGTTCAAGTCCGGGTAAGATCAAGTTCGAGCTCGAGGGACCAGACCCGAGGTCGAAGGCGAAGCATGATGCATACCGAGGTTGGGTGTGCTCAACCTCGAAATAGTACCGTTATGGATTTGTACCAGAACGAGTTAGATTTTTGCCACGTCCTCAAAGTCATGACGCAAATCCCGGATATGATTGAACTATTTCGTACTAGGCAGTTCGATAGCTGTACCAAGAATATTCTTTACCGTAAATGGAAATATTCTTTATTTAGGGCTCCCCTATTATGTAAAGGGGACTCAATCATTTGTAAGACATCTGATCATCACTAAGAAAAGAATATACTCTCTACCTTTTTGCCTACTGTTCATCAGCATTGTCTTTTAGCTCCATTGTTCTTGCTTTATCTTTATTACTTAATTGTTCTTACTACCTTAAGCTACCTCGAGGTCACTGAGCTCGAGGTCATTGCTGCTAAGTAACATTGGTTTGGTTCACTTTTATCTTTCATTTCTACTACATATCTCCTGATTATTAATTGGTATTGAACTAAATCACATATCTTTAAAACCACTAATCAAATTTAATTGTTACTCGTATTCTTGAGGTAAACAGTTTGGCGCCCACCGTGGGGCTAAAGACAATAGTGATTATTTCTTTATTGATTTTCATTACACACGTTGTTTTTACACTTTTTCTTGGCAAAATTTTTTTGATTCTCAGGCTAAAATATGTCTAGCTCACAAAACACACCCATTCATGACAACGAAGGTCTTGGGAAAAAACAGCAACGCAGGAGTCGGTGTACCACCGATAAACCCAGGGGAAGTACCAAATGTGGAACCTGTTGATGTTAGTTCTCACATTGCTTTGAATGCAGCTCTAGGTGTGGACCTCGAAGGAGATATACAAAGGGAAGCCCAGCCTGGTGGCTAAAGAACACAAGGAATGGAAGAAGGACGAGCCAGCCTCCAAGTGATATTCGAGATGCTGCAAGCTTAGCAAATCATCATTGCTCAACTCCAAAGTTAGAATAGAACCCCGAACACAGCCGAACCAGTAAACACTCGGTGTGCTGAACCGGCACTAGAGAGGCCCGATGGAAGTGGCTCGGGGACTGACACCACAATTATGAAAATGCTCGAGGAACTGACTAAAAGGATCTAGTCAGAAGAAAATAAGATCGAAGACAATGATAAGAAGGTGAAAACTTATAACTCCCGGGTAGACCAGATACCGGGGCACCTCCAGATTTGAAAGGTCTAGACTCCAAAAAGTTCATAGTAAAACCTTTCCCCCCAAGTGCGGCTCCAATGCCCATTCCCAAGAAGTTTCACATGCCCGATATACCAAAATATAATGGGACAACCGACCCTAACGAGCACATAACTTCATACACTTGTGGGATTAAAAGAAATGACTTGAATGACAAGGAAATCGAGTCGGTGTTATTAAAGAAATTCGGGGAAACACTATCAAAGGGAGCCATGATTTGGTATCACAACTTAGCTCCTAACTCTATTGACTCATTTGCTATGTTGGCAGATGCCTTTGTGAAAGCACATGTTGGGGCCATAAAGGTGGCCACGAGAAAATCGGACGTCTTCAAAATAAAGCAAATGAACGATGAGATGCTAAGGGAGTTCGTGTCCCGGTTTTAGATGGAAAGAATGAAATTACCACCGGTCTCCGATGACTGGGCAGTACAGGCCGTTATACAGGGTCTAAATGAAAGGAGCTTGATCGCCTCTCAACAATTGAAGCAGAACTTGATCGAATATCCAGCCGTGACATGGTCAAATGTGGACAATCGTTACCAGTCAAAGATCAGGGTCTAGGACGACCAGCTGGAAGCTCCCTCGGGTTTAGTTCATCCTAGCAGATTCGCAGCCAAGCCGCCGAGGGACACGGATCGGGAATCGAGATTCTACAAAGAATGGTACTAGCCATATGTTGAATGAAGAAACAACGGTCCGAGTCGTAACCCTCCTCAAAATGATTAGAGAAATGATCGAGGTCAAAGTTTTTGGGGACTCATGAGTAAGAGCGGGTTCGATAAACATACCGACCTCGTAGAGGCTCCCCAATTATCAGAATACAGTTTCAGCATACATGCATCGGGGATTGTCTTAGCTATCGGGAGAATCAAAGACACCAAATGGTTCAAGCTGATACAGACTGATCCTTCTCAAAGGAACCCGAATTTGATGTGCACGTATCATGGCACACATGGTCATCAAAAAGAAAATTGTAGACAGCTGAGGGAAGAAGTGGCTCGTTTGTTCAACGAGGGCTACCTTCGAGAATTCCTAAGTGATTGGGCTAAGAATCACCTCCGAGAAAGAGATACAAGGAAAAATGAGCAAGAAGAACCACAACACGTAATCCACATGATCATTGGTGGAGTTGATGTCCCCCAACGAACTGTATTCAAACACACCAAGGTGTCAATTACAAGAGAAAAATGGACTCGGAGCTATATGCCCGAGGATGTCTTATCATTTCATGACGGGAAAGCAGAAGGCATATCTCGGCCTCACAACGACGCCCTGGTAATCTCTATCCTTTTTAAATAAAATTCAAATTAAACATGATTTAGTCGATCCAGGTAGCTCAATAAACATAATCAGATCGAGGGTCGTGGAACAACTCGGCCTGCAAGATCAGATCGTACATGCATCCCAGACCATGAATGGCTTTAACATGGCAAGCGAAACAACAAAGGGAGAAATTATCCTGCCAGTTAATGTAGCCAGGACCATACAAGATACGAAGTTCTATGTCATCGAGGGTGATATGAGGTATAACGCGCTCCTCGGGAGACCATGGATACACAACATGAGGGTAGTGCCTTCAACTCTTCACCAGATGATGAAGTTCCCGACAGAGAAAGGAATGAAAACAGTCTACAAAGAGAAATATGCTGCAAAGGAGATGTTTGCAATCGAGGAGGTGGTACCGATACCAGAGCCTTCAACCTCGGAGAAATCGAACGACAGGGGTACACAGGCGGCCAAATAGCAATTACCACCTCTAGCCCCGATGTAATCGGAACAACAGGTAATCGAAGACGAAGATGGGGATTCCCTTACTCCCCAAACCTTTGTCATTCCCGAAGAGTCCGATGCTACCAAATCAACTATCGAGGAGCTGGAGCTGGGCATTTTGATCAAATACATGCCCGAGAAAAAGGTATACCTGGGTATGGGATTGACTCCCGAACTCAAGAAAAACCTCATTCAATTTCTTATCGATAATATGGATTGCGTTGCTTAATCCCATTTAGATATGACAGGGATTCCACCGGAGATCACCACGTATTGGATAAGCACCGATCCCAAGTTCAAACCGGTAAAGCAAAAAAGGAGGCCTCGGTCCGAGGTAAAGCACGCTTTCATAAAGGACGAGGTAACCAAACTCCTTAAAATAGGATCTATTGGGGAAGTAAAGTACCCCGAGTGGCTAGCCAACATAGTTGTATCCCCTAAAAAAGGAAACAAACTTAGAATGTGCGTAGATTAAAAGGACTTGAACAAAGCATGTCCGAAAGATTCATTCCCACTACCCAACATCGATCGTATGATCGATGTCACGGACGGCCACGAGATCCTAACTTTTCTCGATGCCTACTCCGGGTATAATCAGATTCAGGTGAACCCGGGGACCAGGAAAAAACTTCGTTTATTACAAAATTTGGGACTTATTGTTATAATGTAATGCCCTTCGGGGCTAAAAAATGCAGGAGCTACTTACCAACGCCTAGTTAACAAAATGTTTGAAGGAAAAATAGGTAAAACAATGGAAGTTTACATTGAGGATATGTTGGTTAAGTCCCTGCGCGCAGAGGACCATTTGAATTATTTGCAGGAAACGTTGAAAATTTTGATAAAATACAACATGAAGCTTAACTCGAAAAAATGTGCCTTTAGAGTCGGCTCGGGTAAGTTCATCGGCTTCATGGTGTTGAATAGGGGCATTGAAATTAACCCCGATAAGATCAAGGCCATCGAGGACATCACAATCGCGGATAGTGTGAAGAACGTGTAAAGGTTAATAGGTCTAATAGCTGCTCTGGGTCGATTCATCTCAAGGTCATCAGATCAGACTCACCAGTTCTTTTTCTTGCTCAAAAAGAAAAAGGATTACGTATGGACCTCAGAATGTCAACAAGCCTTAGAAGAATTGAAGTGATATCTGTCAAGACCACCTTTGCTTCACACCCCGAAGGTAGATGAAAAACTTTATCTATACTTAGCAATGTCCGAGATAGCGGTAAGTGGGGTACTAGTTTGAGAAGATCAAGGTATGCAATTTTCTATTTATTACATAAGTCAAACTCTAGGAGATGCTGAAACTAGGTACCTTCACTTAGAAAAATTAGCACTTGCATTGATAAGCGCATCTCGAAAGTTAA